GTCTTTTTAAGCAAGTAAATCAAATCGATCTAAAAGAGAATCATGAATTTGTTTTATTTCAGACCGTCACTAAGATTTTCCTTCCCTGCTCTTTCCCACTGCGTCTACAGGCTCTCGAACTTTAAAAAAAAAAATTTAAGGTTTTCCTTGGGCACGATAACCACCCACGTCCCGGGCTGTCCCTTCCTCTGTGGGGACAGCCCGGCTCCTGCCTTGTCACCTGGCTGAACACGTATCCTGGGAAGCCCTGAGGTCCCAGGAACTGTGTGCTTGGCGTTCTGACGGTGGTGTTTGGCCTCCCGTTTTCCCTGGGTTGTAGTCTAATGTCCTCCTTTCCAGAACTAGAATTGTTTTTTCCAAATGGGAAATCAGATATATTTATAGAAGGAGGGAGATATTTTTCATATTAAGCAGCATTTACCTAACTCAAAGTGTAATTCATCACTAGATTTTTAAAAATGTAGTTACACTTTTAAAAGTGTAACTACACTGTACACACTTTCGGATTTTTGCCTAATTCACATCCGCAGTGTCACTCGCAGAGAGAGAAATCGCCCCAGGTTCAACTCACCTCCTCCCCGCGGTTCGGTGCGGTCATTGTGCACATTTCTCATTCAGGTTGATCACGAGACAACAGAGTAAATCCTAATTATGTCCATGGTCTTCATCTTACAGCTACTTAGAGGGACTCTGGGCTATGAGAAAACGATGATAAATCAGGGAAATTTTTAATTTTAAGACCACCTTGATTTTCCTCAATTTTTACCCACTGGCTACTTCAGAATTATAGGCTTAAGATTTAACAGATGTAGTTCTTTACCATCTTAAGTAAACCGCATCTCGTAGTCTGTAACAACACACTTCCTAACCCTGTAGGCCAGCCGGCGTCTTCCCGTCTTTCCTCCTCCCCCACTTGTCTGGCTCACAGGCGTAGCCACCACCGAGTCCGCCTTCAGAAAGGCACAGCCAGCTCTTTGGAAGAGTCCATCGTAATACACTGTGTGTTTGTCAAACGCCAGTTCTAGAGATTACGTCACCAACGTGTCCCTCGGGACCCAGTCCTGTGGGCAGTGAAGCGGTGTCCGGAGCAGCCCTGCTGGGCACCACGGAGGAGGGCCGACGGGGAAACCGAGGCTGCCTCCGGAAGCAGCAGCCAGAGCTCCTCACCCCGTCACAGTGTGCTCGCCTCCACGCAGGCACCCCACGCACACGGACTCACGTCGTTTCCGTTCCCTACCTCGCTGCCCCCCACAGCCCAGAGTCCTGCTCCCCACCAACGCTGGCTTTTCATTGCTATCAGCTCTCACCGCACTCGTGTCCGAAAAGCGAACCTGCAACGATCAGGTAACGTGCTCACCCTCTGCTCGTGCAGAGGCCTCTACAGCGTGCTGGCCACAGGCGACAGACAGAGCGGGGACTCCGCCGCCGGCTCGGGGCGCAGCTCGGCACAGGCCCGCGGCACCGACTCACATTCACACCGGCAAGCAGGCACTACCTGAGGGGCAGAAGGGGCCGCAGTCACCTCGCCCATTGGGTGGCGGTCACTGGCGGCCTACAGTGATGCTGCTTCCAGTTCCAACATTTCGTCTGGCAGGTGAATTTTTCCCTTCCCTCCACCTTTGCTCACCATGTGCACGCTCCCCAAATCCCAAGGGCACAGTGAGGGTCACCAGGAGCCGCCTGGGGGCGTTGGGCCCCACCCAGTGCTGCTTCTCCCCAGCCATGTGGCTGCCATGGTAGTGGGACTTCCAGAAGCCAGTGTCCTCTCTTCCGGTGACTGGCAGCATGAAACGCACATGTGTCTAAACCGCTCAGCCCAGTGCCTGACGCGGTCGTGCGGGGGCGGGTGTGTCGCAGAAATGATGTGTAGCGTTCAAACTCCTCGTTTCATCACACAAGAATAGGTTTTCTACTCCCCTTAATAATAAAACCTATGTACCTTGAACATGTAGCTAATTGTATTTGGTCAAAATAGGAACCCGTCTTCCCCTTCACTGTCCAAAAGTGAATTTCGCGCTCCCGGCTGCTGCCGGACCCCCAGAAGGCAGGGCCATGGTCCGCCCACCGAGGTGTCCGCCCACCAAGGTGTCTGCCCACCGAGGTGTCTGCGTCTCCGCCAGGCCATCACAGGCCACCACCCGTGTCCCTTCTCTTCGTGGCTCTCTCCCCAACTCCCCCACAACCCAGCCGACCCCACGGGGACTGTCAGGCTACAGCTACAACTGCCTCCAGCCAAAGGAATTACAAAATGTAACGAGCCCACGTCTGACAACGAATCAATTCTTAAAGACTCTGCATTTATAAGGACTCCGAGGACACGTCTCTGAAATCTCCAAAAGTCTAACTCCACCAACTTGTGGCAAAGTCTTTCCACAAATGAAACATCTGATTACATGTCAATATATAGTTTTCATTTACCTATTTATCAAATATTTCCCTTGCATTTATCATTGCAAATGCAGTGTTTCAGGCCTGAAATAACACATTTATACAAGTAATTCCACTTAAACAATGTTGACTGTTTCTCCTATGTCTAGAAACCTCCCAGAACACCGAGCGCTGGCACTGGCACTCCGCAGAACGTACCAAAATGTGTCGAACCGCGTGGGTCGGCGCCTGCTCCCCTGCGAGTCCGCCCCTTCTCTGCTCCACACCCCGCCCTAGACGCTGCGTGCATCGCTCAGGGTGCGGTGCGGCGGACCTCCCAGCCCGAGCCTGCAGCCCCGTGTCCCACCGTCCACTCTGCACGCGTCACCCACCGTCCTGCTCAGCCCCGTTGGGACACCTGCGGACGCCGACACCGAGCATGTCCTCAGTGGGACTGGCCTCAGGCAGGTGGGGGCCCTGTTTTCCCTCGAGCCCCTTTCTGTCCGGAAGCTGCCCCCAGGTCCGGCTCTGGGAACCCGTTCCTGCGCCGGCCACACTCGGGGCCCCTGCCCATCTCCACGAGCCCACGGTCTCCGAGAGCCCACGTGAGTCTCAAGTACAATTTAAGTTTTCTAGTCACGTTAGAAAGCAATAAAAAGGTGAAACTTACTTTAGTCTTTCACTCGGCACAATATATCCGCCACACTCTTCCAACACGGAGGGCCAGCGGGCTCTCACGGCCTGAGCTCACCTGGGTGCGTCTCTCACAGCCACCTCCCCAGGCTCCTGCCTTGTGTCCAGCTCCTCACTGCTGCCCACACCCCTGCAGAGAGGGCGGGTCCTGCCCACAGTTATGGGGGCAGCCAGACACCCAGCACCAGCCTGGGATGAGGACACTGCCCACTGGCCAGGCCACACGGACTGCCCTGGGAGGGTGACCAGCAGGGCTGGGTGACAGCACCAGGGCGGGTGTGACCCGATCCCCATGGAGCACGTGATGGGAGCTGGGGCCACTACGCAGGGAGAAGCGGGAACTGCCCCCAGCCCACTGTTGGCCAGGCGCCCTCCCCCACAGGAGCACAGTGGGCAGGAACTGGGGGGCCATTTGAGAGCCCCCCCATCCTACCAGAAGTCCTGGTCTCAGGTCCCCTGCCACCTGCGGCCTCACGGTCTGCCTGTGGGGTTCTGCCACCAGCTCTGGGTGGGAGTGCCCACATCTGAGCCGCATGCTACACTCCCGAGGGGATGGCCTTTCTGAGCTGAAAACACACCTTCAAATCCACCAAATGTCTCCAGACTTCAAGGACAATGTGAAACCTTGACGTGCTCTGTGAAGGTGCCCCCTGCCGAGGTCGGTACAGAATACGTGCCCACTCGGGTCAGCAGGTTCAGATCAGCAGGGTGCACCGTAGCCAAGCTAGATGAGCAAGTTGATTGTTTTTGCTTAATTTTGTGCCCAACAGACCACACGCAGGGCTGGGACTTTCTCTGGGGTCACGCTGGGTGAACCAGGATAACATTAGAGCCACGTGGGCTGTTGGCCCTTCTGGGAAAAATAAGTTCCCTGTTCACAAAACAGGCAAGTTCACATGTTCAGTCTGAAACCACGACCTCTGTCTTTCTCTCACAAACCTGCATCACCCACACATCCGGTCGCCTTCACCTTCACCTGCACACTGGTCACGCTCCAGCCCGTCTGCAAACACCAGCCCTGGCAGCCACTGTGTGTCCCCCAGGCCCCCTCTGGCGCTGGCTCCCTTGACCCCTACTCCTGGCTCATGGTCCCCAGCAGCACCTCCCTGCCCCCCAAGGAGCCATCTGTTCCCTCTGCCTCCTCTGGGACCAGTCTCATGCCCCCCGGCAGACGCTGCCAGGAAGGTGAGCTTCCGTCCTTGGTCTGCCTCCCCGAATGACAACACGGGCTCCACAGAATGGCCTCCGTTGCCCAGGCTTCTCTCTGTGCCTGCAGCTCTCGGGGACACCGTGTAAGGTCTTCAATAAAAAAACACTGCAAACAATGCCGTGACACCAGAAGTGCTCAGGCAGGGACTGAGGATGTTCCCACAGGAGCTGGGAGGAGGCCAGGGAGACGGGGAGGGGCAGGATCAGGAGTAGGACCCAGAAGATTTTTTGTCTCAAGACTCTGTCACAGATGAAGGCAGAAAACGAAATTTCCTATTACTAGGTATTTTCTATTACTAAACATTAGACAAATATTTTTTAACAGCAAATGTTTACTCCTGACTAAAGCCAAGAATAATTTATAAACGCACCTTAATGCCTTGCTGAGAAAACAGTAACCCTCCCTCTTTACAATCTTGTAAGGGACACAGGAAGATAGGCAAGGGCGTTGAAGGGCATCTATCATAACCAGGTAATGAGAACACCCGCGCGCACACACACACACCACACCAACTTTTCAGAAAGGCGGGCTCGAAGCTTCCGGGAGAGCTGAGTAAACAGCGTCCAGTTTCAAAGACAGGGAACCAGGGGGAGGGGAGAAACAGTGCACACACAGCACTCACACCAAAGCCCACTTTTAAGGACATGACAGTAATGAACACTAAAAGCATGGGGGGGGGGGTGGAACGTGGAAAAGGACGTTCAGCACGTTCCAAAAGTATCACGTGACTTCAGCTCGCAAGGAGGTTGTGCTCGGGACCCTCCGGCCTCTCCAGCTTCTCAAAGTGCCTCCCCGCATTTCGTATGTTGATCAGAATCGCCGCCGATGGGATCGCCGGATCCGACATCACGACCATCACACATGTGTTGGACGTGAAGGCGTTGATGAAAGCAGCGAAGTGGGAATTCCTCACTTCCATGCTCTGGAAAGCAGCAGCCAGCTTCCCGCAGCTCAGCCTGAACTGCCTCATGATGTTACTGATCCTCTCTGCCCCGCGGGCGTCGCGCCGCTCTCCATGCTGGTAGTGGGCGATGACCAGGAACGTGGTGCTCTCAAACAGCAGCACCTCCTCGGCCTCGATAATTCGGGCAAACGCACTCAGGTCCTCCTCCAGCTGACGGACGTTGGGAAGCAGCTGGCAGACCACACTGGACCAGGCTCTGTAGAGGGTTTCGTCCCAGATGGACGTCCGGAAGCATGCGCACTCCAGTGGGCGAGACAAGCGCAGCAGATCATCCTCCCGCTCCGCGAAAACCGGGTCGCGCTGTTCCTCCGGCACCAGGTCCATCTTGTGCACCAGGCAGAAGATGCTGGCCGCGGGAGAGCTGCGCAGAATGGCCTCCAGGCACGACTGGTAGTAGTGCATGTCCTTCTCCAGGTCGCGGCTTTCCACGTCGAACACGTAGACCAGCGCTGCCACGTCCTGGAAGACGCCGCCGCGCCGGCCAGTGAAGCAGCTCTCCATTAAGGCGTCCTGCCCGCTACAGTCCCACAGGTTCAGCACCAGGCCGCCCGGAAACCGGATGTGCGAGCGCTCCACGTCCACAGTGGCACCCAGGCACCGTGTGTCGCGAGCAGTACAGTTCGCAAAGATGACCGACCGCATGCTGGTCTTTCCCGACCCGCTCTTCCCCATCAGCAGCACCTTTTTCTTCATGGCTGTGCTCGGCCTCAGGCGGAGTCCCCGCAGGCTAGGGCGCGGGGACCTCAGGGCGCAGAGACCTCAGGGCGCGGCCTGCCCGCAGCGCAGACAGAGGGACGCCGGACCTCCGGATGGAGGGGCGGCCGGTGTGGCGGGGCCTCCACGGGCTGGGCCACGCAGGCCTGCGCAGCTGGGGAAGCTAAAAGCAAGGCCACGCAGGCTGAACTAACTCCGTCTCACAGGGTAGCACCGACAGCAAACAGCGACTACACCCCCACAGCGCAGCGCACCTTCCGGTCAGGTGACTCCCTGCGGCCTGCAGCCACTCACTTCCGGTGGCGGTCTCGCGAGAACATCCGGGCACAGAAAAATCTTGTATAACAAATCAGGCAGTCACGTGAGTTGCTGGAGGCTAGGCACTGTCCGGTGTCTTGGTGTTTGAGGACAGGCTGCATGGACAATTCAAAGGAAAATCGTACATTAACCCAAAGCCCCAGCCCCGTCCTCTTCCCACTCTGCAGAGGACACTAACAGGAAAAGGAAAGCGGGGACGCTCCGTGTGACAGGAACGACAGCTAATGCTGCGCTCAGTGGCTGTCCATTTAGAAAGTTTTGTCCACATACTCATTGTGTTCTTTTACTCGGCGACGCAGCTGAACAAGTCAGTCTCATCTGCAGACTCAGGAACGTGCGCGCGATTCGCGTCTGCCCCAGACTTCCGGAGAAGAGCCATCGTCATTCCCAAGTCATCAGAACACACGTGTTATCCATGTTGTATGTTTTGTGTGTAGTATTCTATGTAAGAAGGCACACCCACAGATAAGTGCACACATGTGCGTGTGTGCGCACGCTACAGTGACACAGACATGGAAGCACTCGGCTGGGAAGCACCCAGCCCCTGACAGAGTTTGCAGAACTGAAACTCCTCTCCCGAGCGCAGCACGGACATCTTTTTCGAGCTGTCTCCCCCCAAAAGCAGAGAATAAGTACCTTTATTTTGTTTGTAGCACTTTATTCCTCACCTATGACACTTACACGTCAACTCTCCTTTCTGACTGCCTTTGTGGTTCAGCTTCTGCAGGGAACGTTTCACAGCCAGAGTCCAACAAACCTACCCTGCTGGGGGGAGGGTCACTGGTCCGTCTCAAAGCTCAGAGTCACAGCGCCAGGTTTCACAAGTGGATCACAGCCCCAGCCACCATCCCAGCGAGGGTGCTCAGTGCCTTGTCTCCTGGCCACGTTCATGCTGATTTTAAAGGTGGAAATGGTGAGATCCACCCCTCAGAGTCTCAGGAAGCCAGGATCCCCAGGAAAGCCCAAAAAGCAAAGCCGTGACAGATTCCATGTATGTGCCTGGGAAAACGGGGGCCCTGGCAGGTGGGGGACAGATCGCACCCAGGGGTGGTCTCCAGAAGCCTGTAAGTGACCGGCTGAGGAAAACAAGGCCACACAGAAACAAGCTAGTCCCTGGGGCCACCACAGAGCAGAGCCTTTGGCCACCTGGCTGGCAGGTCCCTGGCTCTGGAAACCCCAGAAGAGGCAGTCCGAGTGTATGGGGGGGGAGGGGGGCAAGGCAGGGTTGTAAGTGGCATCTGAGAGGACAAAACCAACAGGAGAAGAAGAGGCCGTGTGTGGAGGCCATGCTGCCCGTCTTCAGCTGGCACATTCTAGAAGTTGCTTTTGCTGCTGTTGCCAAGGAGACCAAGAAGAGTTGAAAGGGTGGTCTGGACTTGCCATCAGGCACACCAACCTAATTGCCCCAGAGGCTAGTTCTGCTGCAGGTATCTTTGTATCAATTTAGATAAGGGAAAAGAATTAAAATCTTTGAATGTATTGGTAAAATAACTGAAAGCCACAAAAAGATTAAACATAGCACTTACCTGATTAAGCAAGTGACATTCATTTAGTTGGGGGAGATGACATTTATTTCCCATACATAATTCATTAAACCATAATTTAGCAACTAATAATTTGAAGGGATTTCAATGTAAGTGAAACAAGTGAAAAGTTGCTAAAAATTCAGTTTTCCATTTTAATATGTTTAAAGATTTTTTCAAAGAAACAAGGAGGTCAGTTTGGCAGTTGGTGAAGTATTTTTGATCCAAACAATGAGGGGAGAGCCCTGGAAGTAGCGTGTGACTGAGCCCAAGCTGGCCGCTGCCGCCAGGAAAGCCGGACTTGGGGACGAGTGCTGGTGGAAAAGGAGAGTGACTTATTCACATGCCAGCCACCTGGGAAGATGGCATCACTCATCCCAGAGAACATGGCAACATCTCCCTGCAGCGGAGGCTGTAAAAAGGACGGAGCAGGAAAGCAGAACAAAGAGACGGAGGTCAGGCTGGCAGCCTGGGAGCCCTCTGCTGAGGGACCTCCCCACCAACCAACCCAGTCTGATCAGATGATGGGCTGAAGGTCAGCAAACGCCCCAGGACTGGATGGTCCAAAGGCCTCCCTGTCCCCCCTGAAGTGAGTTCCTAGGGTTCTCCGACCGACATGTTGCCCACCCACAAGCTACATTTCAGGTGGATTTGCATTGACAGAACCGAGGTACCTGTTCAGTTATTTTATGGTTCTGTAACAACAGTAGATAAACATGTTAATCCCTTTAAGGTTCTAAATGGAATTGCACTATACACAGAGTATCATTTTAAATGTCATTAAATTATTCAGTTTTCCATGTGTATTAATTATTCCATATAAAATTATATGTAAAAAGTAAGGTTTTTAGCCCTATATCATTTTTTATTGTATCATGAAGAACTTGGAAAAGTGTGAGCATAGTATTGACATGAAAGCATCTTTTAAAAGCCTTGCTGCGTCGGCAGGGGCTGGAGCCAAGGTGAACCCACCACGCTCACATGGAACGTGCAGAACCAGAAGCCAACTCACTGGGCGCAGCTGTGCCAGCAGGCAGCTTGGTTCGCACGGCTTAACGCGGGAAGCGCGCGCTACACAACGCCCACCCACGCAAACACCAAATGTTTTACACTCTGAAACCACAACGGCTAATATTTCAAGATATCAAACGTAAGCAAATATAGCACCCGTTTAATAATGTAGCAGTGATAGAACCCAAAATCCAACAATACAAATCCATGGTTAAGCAAAAGCAAAAGGCCTTAAAGAACAAAACAATAACAATATAGAAAAAGGCACCTAGAAGTTAGTTACAAGATGGAAAACACTGCACCTGATGCTGTGTCTTTAAGGACTATTATGCTATTAAAATGTATACTCTAAGTTTTCTCAAAAATGCAGTCTCCAAATGTGGCTGTAGAAAGCCCTGTGGCAAAGCGTCTGTGCCTGCTTTCATCTGCGCCGGCTGTCCGGCAGCCTCCGAAGCACACACCAGTCAGGCCTCTCCAGGCCAGGCGCAGAGGCTGTCGAACTCATCCAGGATGGACCGACAGACACTAATGCCTGGGGCAGAGCAATGACCTGACCCCTGGCAGGGCTGTGCATGCTCCTAAGACACACTGCATCTGCCTGTGGAGGGCGGTTCGCCCAGGGGTCGGCGCCGCGGAAAAGTGGGTCCACGTGCGAAGCAGCTCGTGCACGTGAGGTGGGTGAGTGTGTGATTAAGTGCGGACCGGAGCCCGCTGCCGCGGCTGCCGACTGGGCTGCCTCCAGGCACCCGTGCAGGGAAGGACGCGGCACTTGTGACGCCTCCGGGTTCACCTGAGGGTGCAATGCTTCTCCAGCAGGGAGAATGAAACCCGCCCGTTTCCTGAGCCCGGGTGAGCCGTTGGGGGATGCACTCCAACCACTGGAACCCGGGCTTCCGGACGGCAGAGGCCGTTCCTGAGCCTGGGCCGCATGGTGTCAGACGTCTAGGCCCTGAACGTGCAGCGTGAATGCGCGCTCGTAGGCGCCTGCGCACTTGTTGGGAAGAACTCGGCGGCCGGGCCTGAGCTCCGGGTCGGACACTCGCGTGATGCCCGTTGGTTCCGGTTTAGAATGCTGAATTTCGTGTGTTGGCAATTCAAAATGTCACTGCGCCTTTTAAATTTTTCCTAAATATTAATAAAAGTCTTTCTTTATGTTAAAAAGACTAGATTTAAATAAATATCCCAAATATATGCCTATGGTATTTTCCAGGGGTTCAATTGATCAAATGTTCAACCCTGCCCTTCCTACCACAAATTACGTACTTTTTACAGGGCTCACATTGTATCCTCGCTTGCTGGTTTCTTCGTAACTTCTACATTCTGACCCCCAGTCTTTCCCTGGAGAACGTGGGAAGAGTAACAGCAGCGACCGAGTCTCCCGCGGGTGAACCAGGCGACCCCGTGCGAGGTCCACTCACATCCCGGAAAGGGAAGCTGGGAATGGACGTCGGCCCTCGCACAGCCCCGCCTCCCCGCTGCGCCCCGCAGGGCCCCGGTCCCTCTGCACAGCGCCACCTTCGGGGCCCTCCCTGCACTGCAGGCCCCGCTCCGCTCCTGAGGACCACGTGACCTGGCGGTGACCCAGTTTCCCGTCGTGCTCAGCAGCCCACGTCCCCATCAGTCTGTTGGAGAGTCGCTCTCTTGTTTCGTCGGCCAGACAGCCGTGGAGTCCCAGCTTCCTGCACAAGGAAAGTGGGGAAGGCTGCCCTTCGCCACGTTTGGGACGATTTCCCTGTCACCTGCGCGCCTCGCGGTTCCGCAACCAAAGCTCCGGGCCGCGCAGGTCACTGGCCCTCAGCCTCGTGGGAGGGAAAAACAGCACAAAGGAGCCAGACACCGCCTTCCCCCGCCAAGATAAACACACGGCGGTAAACCAGCCTCCAGCCCTCGGAACCTTGGACGAGGCTAAAGCAGTGCTAACCCGTGGTTATCTTTTAAAAGGAGATGCCTACCGGACATCACCAGAAGTCTACCATGTTCCACTCGGTCCACTCATAATTTCTTGCTATTTACTTGTAAGGAACGTATCTTATTTTTATGGAGGCAATCTTAAGAATCTATTATACGTTTGTTGCCCTGGCCCACGGTGCTCAGTTGGTTGAAGCATGGTCCCAAACTGAAAGGTTGTGGGTT